AATTCAATCAGCTGATGGAGTGCCTCTGATCTCACGGCACATATGGCTGTTCAGGTTTGAAAAAAACCCTGAATATTTGATGGGTTGATCCTTAATGCTTTCTGCTAAAGAATTAGCAAGCCTGCTAATGAGCCAAGGGATCCCAAGTGGGGAGGGGAAAAATACAGAATTAGATTCTGTTTTCATTCAGTTTTTTATGTTGCTCAAATAAGAAGTACTGTGCTTCACATATTCTGATTAGTTTCAGAGGGTAGAGAGATTCAAGTAAATTACTCATCAAAGCCATCACACTTAAAATGTCCTGTTTTCCTAAGTGGATATCCTGTGGCCATAGGAAGTCACAACCTATTTGCAAGGGCACCTGCGGATGCTCACCCCCAGACAGAAGGCTCACGGCACTGATCAGAGTTGTCCTTCACTGGAAGGGATGTTTGCAGCTAGAGTCTCAGTCCTTTCACTGCCTCTCCAACTGCTTTTTCTGTCTTCCCTGAAAGAAACTTATCTGTCCTTCACCCCACACTCCATCCTGCCTCCCCACTGGTCCACACCATCCCAAAGGAGGTGGCTTCTCCTGTGTTAACTGGCTGTGCTTGGTTTTCCTCCAGCCCCTTCTCTGCATTCCTGTTGCTCCATCAGCTTCCTGCTGTCTCTGCATCCTGCAGCCAAACACTGTTTGGAGGCCAAACACTCAAACTATGTCCGTCTCTCCCTAGTTCAACAACACCTCTTATGTCAACACAAAAAACCCCAGGGAATTCACAAGGAACATCTTCAGTAACTAAAAGCTCAGCTTACCTGTGCGTTTCCTTTCAACAAAGCTACTGCGACTCTAGGAAATCGCAGCTAAGACTGTAAGAATAGCCAGATCAATCTCCAACCACTTATCTTACAAACCAAGAACTGCCTGCACTTGACACACTCCCTTTCTCCTTAAATCCATAGCAAATATATTCAGAGTGCATCCAATATTGGTTGCAACAGTTAACTTAGTGGAGAGGCAGGACTCCTGCTGCTCCCATTTTTCACAGGTACTACAGCAAAATAAATGTTTATTCCAAACCCCACCACTTGTAACAAAATACACAATTCCACACAGTAATAAAATCAAATAGAAATCAGCCAAAATTACTAATCTTGCTTAGCAAGCCTGTGTTTTAGCGAGGAAGTGAATAGGTTGGCTTTGGCAGCATCTCAGGAACTCAGGTAGCAACTGCTCCGGGCACGGTGGAATAAAGGATCTTTGTGTAGGCTTAACTCTTATTTTCTGCTTCAGAGTTTTCTACCATGTCCTCCACCAACAATGCAAAAGCTTACAAGGAATTGCCTTTTACAACTACTGTCAAGTAATGAGGTTTTTCTCTCTTGATTTGACATTACATCTGTAACTTGGTCTTACTGAAGTTACTTACATGGAAAGCTCTCTTAGAAGATTCTCAACCCTCAACGTGTGTGCCTGCAGCTGGACAGAAAAGTCACTACACCTTGAAGAAGCTGCTATAAATTAGTGCATGGGGTTAGATGAGGTTCAGGACTCCTGCAGTGATTATAAACTCAGCAGGAGTCCTTACACAGGACAGGTCTTGTTAATGGACCTCCTTCAGGACTGGAAGCGGTTCTGCATCTCAGTTCTTGAGGGCTTTCTCTGGAAGCTGCTGTTTTGTGTGGAAGGATCTGTCAATTTACAAAGTCTACAGAACTCTGATACATTTGGTAAAACAACATCAAAAAAGGCTAGACTTAGGCCGTGGCACCATGTGTTGCACAAGGCAGGACAAAGACTATAAATTCTTGTCACAGTTAGTGCAAAGTAAGATTTGGTGATTTTAAAACTATGCCTAAATTGATTTTGCAGCCCGGGTCGGATGTTAGCTCTGGCCATGTCCTGAAACCAGAGGGTGACAAGAGCTGTGCACAAACCAGCATTTGCCTCCTTTCACCTGCTGGGGGAAGGAAACACAGGGAGGCAGGTGGAGCAGATTTGGGACACACTTTCTACTGCCCTTGGTCTTGACTGGGGAAACACGGACATGCTGTGGAAGTACCTATCCCTTGGAAAAGCCACAGCTTGACTTGTGCAGGGAACACACTATCTAGAAAGATAGGATGTTTTCTGCTTTCTGTTGTGCAAGAGACAGCTAAAACAGGGTGCAATGTTCTTTAAAAAGATAAATTTTAAGCATCTTCTTACTTTTGCTGATGCTCCATGCAGTAGAGTGGCCCTTCATATAATAAACACATTTCAGTGCGCCAGCCACCTTTTCTGAGGGCAACACAAGGATTGCAGCTCCTGTGGCTTTTCATTGTCTGCCTTTGGGCACCCGTAGGGGAACTGCATATATTCTGTCTGAAAAGAAGCTAAACTTTGGCTTTACTATGTGAATAGCACCTCCAACAAAAACATGGAAATGGCTTTCCTTATAAACAGTCTGTTTCAGAAAACCAGAAAATCTGTGTTAATACTGAATGGGTCTGTCCAGGACAAAAAGAGGGCACGGAGAGGGCTGGAAAAGTCTAGATGCCAGTAATTTACGAAGTGAGTAGCAATGGCACATTATTACTGTTGCTGTTTTCACTAATTATCAGTAACAACAACCACTGCTGATCTACTTTTGCATTGTGAGAGTAACTAAGCACTGCTTTTGTACTACACAGCACTTCCCTGACACAGAAAGTTCACTTTTCAGGACAAAATGGGTGTATCCGACCTGACCAGGCACTACAGGGTACAAGTGGAATAACAATATTCAGGCATGAGAAACCATGATCTATGCCTGACCTCACCCCTGTTTTTCCACAGTCCTTGTGAAAAAGGAGGCTCCTAAGAGAGGATCTAAAGGTAGGTATGGAGCTAACTGGGAAAGTGTTCAAAGCTCTTCCCAGATCTGATAAGAAGCATGGGAGAAATTAATTGATGTAAAACTTAGCAACATTGTGATGGAGGCCAGTATCACCAGGTAAGCTAAAGTGGGAGTTTATATGTTAGCATGGACTGGTAGACTTGAGGCCTTAAAATCAGAGACAAATAGCTGTACTTGATTTGATAGAGAAGGAGTGGTGAGATGTACAGACAAATGTCTTTGGGCAAGATGTCAAGCTAGGACAATGATCTGTGCAGCAGCATGAATGCAGGTATGCAGCATTGCATTTGTCAAAACCAAGGAAAGGATGTTGCAGCAATCAAAGTGTGTAATGAGAATTTGGACCTGAGACTTACACCTTTGTGAATAAAGAGCTTCAGCTAGAAATGCTACGGAGTAACAGTCTGCAAGATTCACGTGTAGTCTTAGACACAGAGACCCAAGGGAAGTTCAGAATAGAAAGCGATACCCAGGTTGCAGACCTGGAGGATGGGCAGATTGGAGAGGTTACCCATGATGACTGAGTACTCATGTGAGGACAAGAGCTAGGGGACGAAAACAGTACGCTGTCTATTTTAGCCATGCTAAGCCTCAGCAGATAGCGAGACACGGATGCAAAGTGTAGCTTTTGAGCTGTGGGTTGTTTTATTCACTTTTTAAGCAAAGTGAAAGAATTTGTGAATAAATCCTCACGAACAAAAGGGTCCTATCCATCCAAGGATGTCCTGAATGCTTCATCATGAAGCTTCACAAAAATGCTTCTTAAGGAACATTCCCAAGGGAAAAAGAAGAGAGCAGCAGCTGTGTTCACTGGTTTGGAGATGCATCTTACCATCCCTAGTCATATAGTGCATTTTTCTTCTCAGCTGGGGTCTCTTACATATCCATGTTCCTCTGCATGGAAGGAACCATGTCTCTTCTACGTTTTTTGCCTAATTGAAGAAACCTAAGGAGGAAGACCACCTTCTTTGTTCATCTTAAAAGCCTTGCATAAAAAATGGGTGAATGAGCCTCACATCACATCATGAATTCATGATATCTGCTACTAATTTGTAACAAAGCAGCAGGGACTGAGGCTAAGGCTTGTTGAATACATGGTTCAGTCCTACAAAAGCCTACTTTGTAAACGTTAGCTAAGTAAAAGCTCTGCCAGTGAAGTCATAAGCAATACATCATCATCACCCTTCGATAAACTCTTCGTCCAGTTTAAGAATTAAAAGCTGTATTTAACGTATTCAGGGAGAGCGGAGAAATGCCTTTAGAAACAACAGGCTTAATGCACTACTAATCTCTAAACTAAATATTTATAGCCCCGTAATTTATAAACAATCTGAAATATTTGGGTAGTGGATATCCAAGAGGTGGAAGCGCACACAGTAATAGGGAGGTTTTACCATTCTATCTACCTTGTTTTGTGTTTCAATCACTATTATATCAGATTTATAAGCATTGCAAATTATTGAATTATCAGTTTAGAAAAAGAGCTGAAAAAACCATGAGTTAAAATATATGGAAATGTTTCATTGTTTATAAATTTGTGTGCCTCAGAAAATAATCAATATCAAAACTGATTCAAGCCAAGATCTGTCTGGATGTGTATTAAATTGCTCCATGAAAATAAACTAGAAATTACTAAGATAAAAGAAATAATAATGAAATATGGAAATAACTAAGGATTTTGCACATTGTCATTATATAATGGACATAATGGACATAATGACATTACATAATGGATTCTAATTAAATCCAGGTGGAAAATGACCTTCCTAGACCTCCCTTCAAAATTAAGATTTTTGACAGTCATGATTAATGGAAACATGCACTTTGCATGGTTTGTAAACCTGAAACATCATTGTACATTTCAGTTTATAATTTATCCCATTATCTGCTTCTGCATGCATGAAGGTCAGCCGTACTGGCACAAAGTAGCAGTGAAATTCAGAGGCTCTGAAAGGTTGTTTTCACAGATTTTTCAATTATTTTTCATGAGGAAATAATTTTGCCTACTTTTCCCTTAGAAAGATGACAATCTAAAAGAGTAATATTTTTAACAGCAGTAATTGCAATATTCTTGTTATCCTCTTGTCTTTTTAGAATAAACAAAATGGCACTGGAAAAAAATGTTTTTTTAAGGATTCCTACCCGCAATATTTCTTCAATGCAGCTGTTATCTCCTGTTCCACTGTCCTGTAAACAAAATGAGAAAATAGTTTGTTTGTGTTTTAAAAAGAAATAACAAATAGCAGGTTTGAGGACATGGTTGTCACATGAAATATATTCCAACCTCTATTACAGTTTCGAAATGAGGCCAAGTCTTTCCAGCATCTGAAAAGTTGCACTGCTTAAAATTCTCAAATTATTCCCCATCAGCACCGCAGGAAGATGTAATATTTGCAGCGTTTACATATGACTGCAACATATTTGTATAAATTCATAGGATTTTATTTACACCACTTTGGGTGCGGTTCATGCTGTTTTGGCTATGCTGAGTATGAGTAAGCATAAGCAAAACAGTTATTGCATGTACGTAGATCCAATATGTGCATTTATTTACATTAAATAAATAACATCTTTCCGCATCCTTTGTGCAGGAAGGACTCTGCAGTGACACTGCCTATGTGCAGCCTGACGATGTATAGGGTAGAGGCACCTGCGATGCCGAGGGGAGAGCTGCAGAGACTGCAACACAGGCGGCAACACCGAGCACAGGCTAGGCAGCACAGCAGTCCTGAGAAGGCTACGATTTCCTAAAATGCTGACCCAAAACCCACCCGTACGTTGTGGGGCTGAGAAATTCGGCTCTCCTGAACAATATGGCTTACTCCAGAGCCATTCTGGAGAGGAGAAATCAGAGACTTGGCAGAGCAGCTATCCCCTGATAGCAACCATCCTGCTGGTGCCTCACCTACATGCTCAGCTTGGTTGTTCATTAGGACCCAAAATTTTGCCACCGAAGACAAGGCAGCGCGAGACACCAGACTGCCATACCTGTGCCCCCCCCATCCCCTTCCTGCCTGCCCCCAGTTCCCTTGCACTGCCCAGCACAACTGGGAAGAGTGGGCACACCATGGATGGAAGTACTGGTGCTGAAGGGCTGCCCATCTCCTGCAGCGCTCCACAAGATACAGGTGGCTGCTGCATCAAGCAAGTTTTCTGGGGATTTACTTCACCACGCTAAACTCCCTGACAGTTGCCCCAAAAAAGGGTTTCTTCTTCTTGGAGAACAGAACTAGCTCAGGAAGCAGGAGACTGGGGCTTGAGGTCTTCCCATGTGGAAAGGGGGGATGGAAACAAAACTGATATGATTAATTACTGTCCGCAAAAAGCCAGCAGGGAGGTGAGCTTGGTCTTTGCCTCTCATTTTCAAAACACACCTGGAGGTTCTGAGTTTTCAGGTGCCCACCTGGAGAAATATCAAAGCAGTTCGATTTTCCGAAGTGCTGAGCTCTTCTCACCTGGAAATCAGACTTCTCTACCACATCTGTATTTGGGCACCCAAAAAAATCACAAGGCGCTTTCAAAAATGGATACCTCTATGCCTACCAGACCCAAATGATCCCACTAGCCAGTCTGTGCAAGTCCTGCTCCTGGGCAGTGTCACTGCCGCTCCCCAGCCTGAGCTGGGTGACCGAGGAGGTCTGGACCCGCAGCCGCTCGTAGCCTACCAGCTGTAACCGAGGTCAGAAGTACAGCAGCCATGCACAAGCAAGGGAACAATTTACGTTTCATAATTTTTTTGTGGCTGTTATTTCATGCCAATTCACAGAAAGTCGTAAGTGCTTTATTGTCCCCACTCCTGCTAAATCTTTGCTGAATATGGCCCTCGATTGTTAAACAAATGAATCGCATTAACTCTTTTTGGTGCAACACAGTCTGTCAGCTTTACAGTTCGCCAGGATTTACACCACTGATTTCAAAGGGAAAGGAACTAAGCACGCTGTAAAGTCAGCCTTTGGAGAATTACTCATATCCGATGTACGGATGCTGAAGAGAGGCTGCAGCCCTCGAGCAGACAGCCCTGTTCTGATCTCAGCCCTGTCCCCGAGGAGCCGCACAACACTGCGTGTGACCTTCCTGCCGCTGGAGCAGGGGTGCAAGTGCAAGAGTTGATGTTGCCGATGAAGCTAACAAGACAGACGGAAACACCGTGACAACCTCTGGATATTTAAGAATTTTAAAATTAGCTAATTTTTATTTCTCTCTTCTCTGTGGGTTTCCCTCCATTTTCTCCCTTTCCTTCCCCAAACCCCGGCCAATGACTTCTTATCCCATTAACAACAGCGGGAAGTGCAAAACCCTCATCATGAACACCTTGTTTACCGAGCAACTAATTTACTGCCTGACCTCAAGTTTTCTATTCTAGTCCATTGCCATCTTACAGAAGGAGGGATGAGATGACCTACCATCTTATGCTGTATACAATACATTGAACATACGGTAAAATGATACGCTCTATTTTTGTGTGAAGACAAAACTACTGAAGGTAAATTTGGCAATAGGCTATTTCAGACTAGGTTTAGAAACAAATTTTTGTTACAAAATCAAATATCCCTCCTAGAAGTGTAATGAAATAAGTCTGCAAATACTCATCAGCAAGAAATTACACTTTCCATTACGACAGAACTAACACTTTAGCTATTCTCCCTAGCACATCATATCTCTGGGCAGGGAGTAAAAAAACTTTTCACATCTCTCTCTCAATATCATCACACTGCCTTTCAAATGGCAAAAAAAAAAAAAGCTGTAAACACAAACCCAAAGATGAGGTATGCAAAAGTGAAAACAGTATTTGGGAAAAACCTTGATTTCTTTATTTTCCTCTTTGTTCTTCATCTTTTGAGTGCCAAATATAAATTTCTTAATTTATTTTTGCTTTGAATACTTGTAAGGCTCTTAGATTACTGTTGATATCAAACCTTCTAGAATAAGGATGGGGAAGTTAAGAGACCATGCTCTGCACACAGCAAGCAACTTCAATTTCATATGGCCTGGGGCCATTATTATTTTTTTTTTGTCATGATATCATATAACACTATGCAGAGTGTTATTGTGGGACCTAAGGTATGTCTGAAAAGTGTCTGTAGATGTTGGTCTAGAAAAGACTTCCCGTTCTCACTTTAAAAGCTCTTCACTATATCTCTAGTCACATCACAGAGGAATCTGGCAACCTAAATTTAACTTCATGGCCATATTTTAATTAAAAAAAAAATAAAAGCTGGTAAATGTTTCTTTAAATCTGAATTAAAAGAAGAGATTGCATTACCTGCAGGCAACAAATAGCACAGAGCACTCAACGAGCTATTTGCATCAGCGGAATTGCCTGATCCAAACCCTATTGCGTCAGTGCTGGCTGCATGACGCAGCACCTGCGTAAGGCTGATGTCGGCAGTGCCGGCAATCTGCGCAAAGCACTCCCTCCACCCTCTTGATAGCCTGCACGCCACAGTACACTTGTGCAATCAACATTTTAATTACTTAAAAAATAAAAATTAAAAAAAAAAAGGAAATAAAGGTTTTGAGACTGCTGTTCTGAAGTAAGCCGAGGCGCTGCCACCCTGTATTTATTCTGACATTGATGAACCCAGCTCATTTGCTTCCCTTTGCATTTTGCGCTCTGTCATAACAAACGCGCCTCACTGAACCTCCAATGAACCATCAGCGAAACGCTGGCAAGTGTCAGGGAGCTGTCGGGGGAAGTGGGCTCCCGTCTCTTCCCTCTCCGATGCTGCACCCATTACCTTCGTCCCTCAGTCAGCACAGCCTGAAGAACGCCAAACATCTGCACACACGTGCGGCTGGAGTACAGTCTGGCAGGAGGATGCGAGGAGCTGCCACCAAGGATAATGGCAGTGGCTGCTGAAGAAATAGCCGGGAGCATCGTGCCGCTGATAACACGAGCAGCTAATTACCATGCAAAGCACAGAGAACTCTAAGAAACAAGGCTGACTAAAGGCTACATCGAATTCTTGAGAAACGGGATGTCATTTCAAAAAAAGCTACATCTGTACAAATTTTATTTCAGAGCATTACTTTATTTTTTCTTCCCTTACTAAGAGCTTTCACATGGAGATATATAAAGAAACCTCTCTGAAAGGAATTGTTTATCTGTGATACTTCTCCCTCCTTTCAAATCTTTGTGTTAAGGAAAGAAAGAAAAATCTTCTGCAAGTACCTATTTCCATTTTAGCCTAAGAGATTTTTATGGTGCCAGCTTTTGGTGCTGTTATTATTTGGACTGTGATAAGTGTTTTTACAAAGTCTCTAGAAGTTATTGGATTTTGTCTCCAGTATAAATTAGGCATGATTAAGATCTCCAGAAGGCTGAGGTACGTACTCAGCCTCTTCCACTCGGTGGGAGGCAGGCTGGCTCTGTCGGCGCTTGAACGCTGGTCATCTGCAACCAGCGGCATGGCGGTGGCCACCATGTGTCCACCCTTTGGGTGCCACCTCTGCATCCAGGGCAGCTTTCACCCCCGCGCTGCGCAGGCACTGCACGGCATGGCTTAACACGGGGCTGCAGGATCTCCCCTGGGGCCTAAAGTGAAGCTTCAGGCAGTAAATGTTGGCAGACAATAACCTACGTCCACAATTTTAAAAAAAGGGAAGAAAGCCCACATTGATGGACCTTGGTCTGAAAGCATATTAGAAAAGCTTCTTTGCCAGGCAAGACCACAAAAATATGGAGATACACACAGATGCATGCACATATGTATATACAACATTTTCTATAAAATCCATTTGCTAGAAAGGAACTTCCAGTATGAAGAAGATAAGTAAAGTCCTTATCTTTTTACTTATTCATACGTGCGGCCTCTGCCTGCTGCATTGTGGAGAACCATTGCCCTCAACAAAGTTCCCCTTCAATCATTTCTCTGAGGAGATCTTCAAACCTTCAAGTTGTGGAATAAAATGTTGAAATTTAACAGGGAGATATGCCTGAGACCAGAGAGGTGTCTTCTGGGGTTTCTGTGGAAATAAAGCCAGGCTGTGTAAAAGTATTTTTCGGGAGAGGTCATTTGCAGATGCCCAGGAAGGGTTTTTAGATATTCAGGGCTTAACTTCCTTGCATGTGCTACATCCTCCAAAAGGCTCTTTATGGGATAGCTGTGCTGAACCCACACTGCTCTGGAGAGAAAAGGCAGTGCTTTGGACTTCAGGAAATGTGGGCTGCCTAAAAGATTAGACCT